TATTTTTGTCTTTACCTAGATTAGTCCCATGGTATTAGAATTAATACCACCAAATGGAAGGTATTAGTTATCCACCCTATAATACCATGTATGGTGTATAACTAATTCATGAATTGATTATACATAAACCCAAAATTCTTACCAAACATAGTACTAAATAATACCACACATAATACTTGGACTATTTCTCCTAATACTCTCTACCAAACGACCCCTTATATGTACTACATATTTAAAAAGTTTCTCCCTAAAATTACAGATAAAAAAATGAACATTTCGCTCACAAATGGACGAGTTGCTCCAAATAACGTTAACTCCATCTATTCTATTCTAAAATACAACACAAATATTTTAAGATGGACAAGCTACAATATTTTTATTAGCTTTTCACGTGGATGAATATTGTTTTTATTCACTTCACATTTAATATTAATTTTTATTGCTAAATGAGTTATTGGACTTGTTTTACTCTAATACTTAAGGTAACAAAAACAATAACATGTCAATGAAATCACTTAAAGAAGTTGCTTTCGAAAAATCGTGTAGATAGAGAAGTTGCTTTCGAAAAATCATCGATTCAAATACAATAAATTAAAGTAATAATAAAAAAGAAAAATGATAGTGAAAAAATATATAGTAGTAAAGTAATACGAAAATAATAACAACAAAATATTGTACTCCTTCTATCCAATAATACTTGTCCACTATTGATTTTGTACCCTTCTTAAGAAATTATAAATAGAAGAGTAATTTTACTATATCACCTTTTGAATATAATAAATACGATGTCTTGAAAAATGTAATAGGAAAGTGATCTATAATTAATTATAAGGATAAATTAGGAACCAAGTGTAACATTATCCATTAATTTCGTAAAGTGGACAACTATTATTGAACGGAGAGAGTAATAATCAAAACAATAAAAACAAAGGAAAGCAAGACACTCACCAACAAGGATCGTGATATAGTTGTAAGTACTCCTTCATCCTATTAAGAGGTATTAGATTTGAGTCCCCTTGTCCGAATATAATCGAACTCTAACGCGGATAACGAACGAGTGGGACCACTTTGCCAGCTTCTTTCTTTCTTTGACAAGTTTATTTAATTCAAAATGTCTACATCTAAATTTGTTATATTATACTCTTTTGTCCCAATTTATGTGACACTTTTCATTTTTTGAGAGTCAAACAATTTAACTTTGATCGGAAATTTGCGTATGAAATTTTCAATTTTTTTGAAATAAAATTTATATATTTGTAAACTACGTAAAAAGTATTATAAGTCACAATGATTGATAATTGAAAATATTAAAAGAATTTATGAAAAACTTACCGTGAATGAAAAGTGCCTGTAAAATGGGACGGAGGGAGTAACAAAATAATGAGGCAATGATAATCGCCATTAAAATTGTCAACGAAGCTTGAAAGCAACAGCAGATTACTCTACGAATATCTGATATTCTTATACTTACTAAATGTGAATCTGTACTTCTTTTTGACGAAGAAATCGAATGTACAGTTTACTGTTAAGAAGATTCAAGATATTCATTCAATTTCACTAAAGAAGCACATGTTTCAACAGAGTTAATAACTTTTTTCTCCAGGTAATTCACACTAATGATTTTTTTTCTTTTTTGTTGCGTAGATCTATGCTCAGTGTTGTAGTTTTGAGTGTTTGACTTTACATTACTATTTTAATTTTTTTTTGGATAAGTTTGCTGAAATTCTGCAGCAAGTTATAGCTGAATAACTTGTTTTTTTGATTTGTGAAAGAAGGTGGATCTACATTATGAGAAACTATGTTGCTTGGATACTCAAAAAAAATTGCATAGTTTTGTTTTTGTTTTGGAGGAGACAGTATTTTTGAAGAGTCCGAGCAACATGAATGAGAAATCGAAATCACATAGTATTTGAGTCCCTTCGGGAACATCGATAAAATTGGAATAATACAGAGAAGATTAGCATAGTCCCTGCGCAAGGATGACATGCACAAATCTAGAAATGATCCAAATTTCTTCCAATCTGCCTTAGACTTGGTGAGCAGAGTAAATCCGGGGTGGATGTAGGATATATATTAGCTTAGACCTTGTATATACATTAAATTTTTTATTATAAAGTACAAATAATAGATTTTGAATCTGGTAAATCAAATGGGTAGGGGTAGAATTTTGAACTCGAATCTATAAAGTTCAAGTTCTTAATCGGCCTATGTTGCTTGGACACTCGGAAAATTGCATAGCTTTTGAAGGATCCGACACACCCTGACATTATTTTTGAAATGTCCAAGCAATATAAATGAGAAATGCTTTTGGATAAACCATCTATATAGTATTTGATTTCTTCCAATCTGTCTAAGACTTGGTGAGCAGAGTAAATCAAGGGTGGATGTAGAAGAGGAATTAGCTTTGACCTTTGTATATGTGTTAAAACATTTATTATAAAATACAAATAATAGATTTCGAACCCATTAAATCAAATGGGTTGTGGTAGAATTTCGAGCTCAAACCCATAAAGTTCAAGTTCTTAATTCGCCTCTTGTAGAGTAACCCAATGTTGATGCTGGTGGGAGTTAGTAGGTATCTGGTGGAATAATTGAGCTGTGTGTAAGTTGGCTTGGGCATCACCGTTACAAAAAACATTTTTTTTTTTAAAAAGTTGTGTGTATAACGTATAACTCTACTCACTCTAAACCCATTTACTCTAGCTTGTGAAATTGTGTGTATAATGTATAATGGTTCTTCTTTGATTCTAAATAAGGAGTAATTTGGTTCTTACACCTTATTTTTTTCTATTTGAATTCACTTTAGGGGCTTACTTCTATATTTATTTGTTTTAGTTTCCTTCACTGTTGTTGTCTCCATTCGGTTCCCGCCATCATGAAACCCGAGGGTGGATGAACTATTTATGGTTTGGGTTCGGCAGAATCCACCAACTTTGGCTCAATCCTGAAAGTCCATGTATTTTGCACAATTTATAAATTTAGAACCTAGTAACTTCAAAGGATTAGTATCCCGAATCTATAAGCTTCAAATCCTGAATCCGCTATCTTACCTAGAACTAGCTAGATGAGGAAAACCTGGAGTTCTTCGAGTTTTAGTTAGACTTTATGATTAATATTGACATTGACTTGATCAAACGCTACCTCTATATCCTAGAATTAGTTGATAAGGATGTAATACGTAGGAAGATCCGACTGGTAAATTATGCCAGAAACTATTTGCTAGCCAGAGCATCGATGATGATCTCATACATAAGTTATCATAGGCTTCATGATGCCAGCATAAGTTACATTATAATTGTGTGGTATCATGTACTGAAAACCATAGCTTTTGCTGAAGTAGTATGCTGACAAGTTCATTACAGTTTTATGCGTGTATGTCAGATCCATCCAGTATTCTAGTTACTTCACGCATTAAAAACTAAATTGTCTTAAATTGGCGCAATTCTAGTGTATGAAGAAAGTGACAACATTGTCTTATTATTATAATGTTACAATCTTGGTAGTTTTTAGCCCAATGTCTACCGAAAACAACCTCTCTACCTTCTCAAGGTAGGGGTATGGTCTGCGTACACACTACCCTCTATGAACCTCACTTGTGGGATTACATTGGGTTTTGTTGTTGTTGTTAGTCTTGTTAGTTTCTTGTGGCTTAAAATTTGAGCTTCTCTGACAAAAAGCCCCAATTCGTTGCGATTAATTAGTGAGCTTAGAGGACTTCAACATTCTTATCGTTAATTTCTCTCAGGGTCTCTAGAGGCAGTTGATTTTGCTTGGAATGGCGGGCAGCAACATAAATCAGCCCTTATTAGACCAGCTGCCTAAAACCCTTCAAAATGTTGATTCAAGGAGAAGAAGACTTCGTCGACTTAAAAGTGCTCCTATGCCGGAATTTGTTCCTGGAGAAATGAATGACATAAAGGACGACCAATCACTCCCACGTTACGAGTCAATATTGGATAAATTACATCCGAGTTTTAGGAAAGTCATTCTTTACTTGGTTATATACTTGACAATTGGTACCACGTGCTTTTACTTTGTTCAGAACCAAATCCAGGGAAAGAAAGTAAATGGAGTACTCGATTCTGTTTACTTCTGTGTGGTAACAATGACCACTGTTGGATACGGGGACCTTGTGCCTAACAGCGCAACTGCTAAACTGCTTGCTTCTTTCTTTGTTTTCTCCGGGATGGCACTTGTTGGAATGGTTCTAAGTAAAGGAGCAGACTACCTAGTGGAGAAACAGGAAACCCTATTAATCAAAGCATTGCATATGCGTGATAAAGTTGGCCCGAGTGTTATTCTAGAGGAAATTGAAACCAACAAAGTGAGGTACAAGTGCTTCGTCATAACAGCCACTCTTGTGGTGCTAATAGTTGTTGGAACGGTGTTCCTTGCCGAGGTAGAAAAGTTAAGTACCATTGATGCCTTTTATTGTGTCTGTTCTACCATCACAACTCTAGGATATGGAGACAAAAGTTTCTCAACTAAAGCGGGGCGTATTTTTGCTATATTCTGGATTTTGACCAGCACCCTTTGTTTGGCTCAGTTCTTCCTTTATGTAGCTGAATTTAACACAGAAAGGAAACAGAAGGAGCTGGTGCAGTGGGTTCTTTCGAGAAAGATGACAAATGTGGACTTGGAAGTTGCTGATCTTGATAACGATAGGATTGTAGGGTAAGTTATACTATAAAACTTCAACCCCTGCTACCAATAATTAACTCGTTGAATCTGTCAACCAATTGCTTATTTCTCTTTTATTCTACTCTGTTGCTAGTTCAAATTATTCTAATTTCTCTTCACTTTTCATATGCAAAGAGCTGCTGAATTTGTGGTATATAAACTTAAGGAGATGGGAAAGATCACCCAAGACGACGTATCACTCTTGTTGGATGAGTTTGAATGTCTTGATGTTGATCAGTCTGGAACTTTGTCAACCACAGATTTGTCACTTGCCCAATCATCTTGAATTGGAATGCAACTGCAGTGCTACGTAAAACTCCATCTTCAGCTCCCGTGTCACACTGTTTCCACGAGCTTCTGAGAGTTTTCCTGGGACGAGTACATTCTTTACCACACTTGCAGACTCCTATCTAAATCTTGAACGCTATTTCCTTGTGTCTTGAGTGCTTTTGCACATGTATTTCAGTCATTTCCGTCCTGATTTAGCTCCCGAGTGATTTCACTCTATCCACTTCATAGAATGCACCATGTACATGCAGTGTTAATAATTATACTAAAAAGTACAGTTATTGTGGCTTTGCTGGTGGAGTAGGCTACTCAACTCAGAAATTGTACTCTGAATTGTGTTTCTCCTGAAAGATTGTTTACAGAAATCGCGTAGCGCCTTTGTCTGGTGGAACTTGTAAGCCAACTGAGCTATTTGATGTTCAAAATACAAGTGATGTAAATTTACCAATTTGAGATATGTTATAGCATTCCTTCGCTATGTGTTACTTGAGCTGAGGGTCATTCGAAAACAGCCTCTCTACCTCCATGAGGTAGGGATAAGGTCTGCGTACATTCTCTACCCTCCCCAAACCCCACCTCGTGGGATTACATTCCTTCATCTGCAGAAGGAACATAAATATGAACTACACTGGATTATATTCTGAAATATATGTATAGTTTTGTGATATGATTGGTGCAACGTGATAAATGGCAGATGCAGCTCTTCTCTGAATCCATTATTTTTATGCGGATACATATATATCAAGTTTAAATTTTGGATTCGCCTCTTGAAACGTCTAGTGCAATGTGATGGGCAACTGATGAAGTTTGTATTGGTGGTTGACACAAGGATAAATACTTCAAGCATTGCAAATTTGGAGTATGAAATATATTGGGATGAAAAAAATAGTTAAATGGCTATTGGTTAGTAATTTTTCTATAACATGTTTGGATTAAGCAAAAGAAAAATGTATTAGTCAAAATTAATTATTTTTAAAGATGATTGGATGATATATATATTGGCAAATAAAAAGGAACTAATATAGTATTTCTGTAGTATATCACTAGACACTAATGTAACAAGTTTTAAATTACATTATTTTTAATATAAAAAAGATGCTAATTTTCTTTCTGAAATAGGCTAAAAAAGAAGATCCTAACGTGGTCAACATACTTATTGTTATTTTATTTGACCTGACACAAAGTTTACGAACGATACAAAAGGTTTTTCGAGGTTGTGTTCAAAAAATGAGAAATAGACATGTGTGAGTTTAAATACTATTTTATTAAGTATAGAATAAAATAAATTTAAATTTTTAAATTTTTTTTACAACAAAGCCAAAAAATAAATAAAAATTCTACATAAATATAAAATGGCAAATGCTGTGGCTGTTTGAGAGAAAACAAGAAAGAATAGATTCACTTCAGTGAGGAGAGGGAGAGTAGCAATAGAACGCAGCAAACTTAGCTCTCAAAGTTCCCTGTAAGTACTTAAATTTTTATTAATTACATGCAAATTTTTAGCTGAAAATTTACATTCTTGATGTTGGGTTGTTTGATTATGGTAAAAAGATTGGATTTTTAAATTTTTTTTTTTTGCAGTTTAGGGTTCTTTATTGATTTTAATAATGAATTTTGTGTGTCAGCTGTTTTTTTTGGATGGGGTGGGGGTGGGGTAGTTGAAGGCTAATTTAACGTAGTGAATAATGTAGAGAGGATTTTCATGAAGCTCTTTAATGGTGAGGATTGTTTTTGGGGTTCATTTGTTGGTGCAAAGTTGGAGGTAATGACAACATGTTGAGTGCATTATTTGCATGTTGGATTCTTCAAGCTCATGACTTGACATTGTTATATGCAGATTATCTTCAGCTGTGTGCTCAAGGGTTTTGTTTTGACCTGTTAGAGTTGAAGTTTAGTTATGGGAGAGGAGGGGGATAGTGTCACTGAATTGGCTGAGGTATCTGCTGACAACAATGTGGCAGTGGAAGATAAGAGTGAAGCCTTTATAGAGAAGAATGCTGAAAAGGATGAGTTGAAGGAAGTAGAAGAAGAGAGCAAAGAGGCTGATGAAAGGGATATTGAGAACATGGATATAGACGAAGAAGAGGTAAAAGAAAGCAAAGGAGGAGAAGAGAAGAAAGAAACTAAGTTTGAAGTGATGGAAGAAGAAACTGCTGAAATACCAGATAATGACAAAGAGATGGTTGAAGATGTAGCCAAAGTACAGAAAGAGAAAAAAGAAAGCCCTGAAGATCATGCCATTGAGAAAGGATCAAAGGAGAGTGATAAATCTAAGAGTAGGGCTCAGAAGAAAGATCGGAAGAGGAAAAGGAAAGTGGAGGACAAGAAGGAACTGAAGCCTAAAACACCTCTGGCTCCAACAATTGTACGCCCTGTACGCCAACGCAAATCTGTTGAAAGGCTGGTTGCATCTATTGAAGGAGAACTCACCAAGGAAATCTATATTGAAAAGGTCCAAGATACCAGTGCAACTTTGTTGTCTTTATCCTTTTATGATTTGGGTCCGGACTGCAAATTTATGATTGTTTATGAAATTAATTTTATGATCCATCTTGTTTGCAGGGTCGTGGAACTGCACTGCAAGATATTCCGAATGGTATATTACTTACTAGTCCACTGATTAAACATGCATTCTTTGAAATGGTCACATATCCCGCAGGATATAGATCTTAAGATAGATATCAGTTGGAGATTTTATTTCTGCTTTGCTTTTTCTTATGCACGCTGTACAATCTTACTTTCTAGTTGTTTGTTCTTGATTTAGCACATGACTATTAACTTACCAGGGTTAACCAACATGAACCAACCTGTCCTCCAAGTTGATTGCTGGGACTGAAAAATATGGTGGGTTGTGATGTACAGTAAGAAACTACAAGAAAACGAAAAACATATAACTCATATGAGCTGCTTCTCCCAGTTTCTATTGTTTTATTAGATGGAGCTTCACTTGGATCATAAAAAACAAATAGTAGTGAAAAAAATTGAGGCATACCATTTATATTTGTTCAAATTGATATGACTGTGATTATGACCAAATATAATTGGTATAGGAAGTATCTTACGCGCGCTATGTGTTGCAAGTTTGGCTCAGTGAGATGTTTGCTTTTGTTGGGGTTCGTTTCCCATCAAGTAGAGGAGGAAAAAGGGAAAAATGAGTTAAATAGTAGTTCAATATGTTAAAATGTGACGAAAGATAGACCACTACCTACATTGCTTTTATCTTGTTCTCGTTTAAGTTATATCTCCATACAACTTATCTAGTGGTACCCTCTGATCTGCATGAATCCTGATCTGACTTGTGACTTTTGTTCTATTACCTTCTTTTCTGCATGTGTGCATTCTACAGCATACGTATTTGATTTAATCTTGGCTTTGTTACCCCTCTCACTTGAATATATTTTCCTTTGAATCACAGTTTCATTTGTCCCCTCGTGTTTGAGAATGTGGTAATTGGGGGGGTCCTAGTCCCCGAGACTTTGTTACCCAAGTTCTTTGTTGTATCTAGCGTTGGTTTTGCTAGTCTGTGAGTTTCCATTTTCTTTTGTGTGTTTCTATTGTTTTTCCTATAATGTGTTGATTCAAAATATTATGTATCAGTGGCATACAAATTATCCAAAAGGAAGACTGATGACACTCTCAAATTGCTACACAATATTCTCTTTGGACGACGAGGAAAGGTGACATGTTGATTTATAGCTTATTGCTGTTGATTGGTTTCTCTTTATTGTACTGTTTTCTGCTTACCAGTGGTGTTCTGGTTGACATGCTGGATTATATGCCTTGCATTCTTAATTCCCACTTCCTGACAAAGGAAAGGTGTCTTGGTGTTGCTATTGATTTCTCTTCTGTAAGTACCTCAACAGGTATTTGAAAGAAGGAGGAAGCTATGATCTCATTTTAGGGTCAACTTATGTAATCCTGAGCTCTATCTATATTTATATATATATATATATTTACTGACTATTTTGTTAATTAGATTACCCAAAAGTATTGGACCGTAATTATCTTTATATATTATCAAATGTGTGCTATTTTAGACAACCATATGTTTCCAGTTTCCAATTTTGGTTGGAATTAACTCTTATGGCTCGTTTGGTTTTGTCATATAACTTTGCATTTCTAATGTAATGTTTTGTTTTCAGTATTCGTATTGGATCACTTGCTCCCCAAGTCCCGACTCATGGAATTAAGAAACATCTTCAAGAATGCTTAAAGACAATATGCTATTTCCTCTCTATTTCTTCTTCACTTTCTTTCTGTTGATACTTTGTGTTTATAGTTCTTTTCCTTTGCAGGCAGCTCAATTCAAGAGTAATATTTCACAGTTTTCCGGCTTTGTGTGGCATGAAAATGAGGTAATCAATGAGTCTCATTTTTAAGAGAGTGAACTCTTCCTTTTTTGGTTTATGCCAGGTGTGGGTATGGCAGGTTGGGATAGAGAAGATTTGACTATAAAATTTCTCATTGGCCATTGCTTTCTCATGCGAGGCTGCCTGTATATCTTGTTCATTGTCTAATTGTTGGGCTCTTAATCTAATTTGGGTAATTTTCATTGATAATGATCCGAAAATTCTTGAGCTCAGAGCCTTAGACTAAACTTTTTTTGCAGGAAAAACAAAAGATGAAAGTAAAAGAAAAGCTTGACAAGTGTGTCAAAGAGAAGCTGTTGGAATTATGTGATGTACTAGATATACCTGTTGACGAGGATACATCAAGAAAGGTGTCTTCATATATTACCACAGCATATTAATCTTTATATGTCATTAGTTATTTCTTCTGTGTGTTCGTGACTTATCTTAAAAGATTCTCAACTAATTCTATGTTATATGTTTCAGGAAGATTTAGAATCACAGTTGATGGATTTTTTAGATGCTCCTCATCCTACGACATCTGAGTTGCTTGCTGAAAATGAACAGGTTGGTTGCACGACCTTTTTGATTGCAATGAAATATTTGTGACTTCTTCCAGTTGTACAGCATGCTTATTCTCCCCTGGTGCATTGAACAGTCAAGTAAAGGAAAGAAGAAAAAGAATCCTTCATCAACAATTGGTAGTTTGGAAGGTTCAACTAAGGTATCACTCTTTCTTATTAACATTTGAAACTTGACTTGATTGCAAGGAAACATGGACTAGTGAAATTGTTCTAACCTGTTTGAACTTACTAAATTTGAGACACAACCTTCCATTTACTGCACTTAGGTTTACACCCTTGAGATTTGAGATGTGAAATCACGTTATCCGGCTTACTGGTATTGAAGTTGTCAATCACTTTTGTGAACGTAATTCTGCTGATCTAAATGGTTTTCTCTCTGAAGCTCCCACTGAGTTTTGATCTGGGGACGAGAGTACAAAATCTTTCATGCCAGGACACATGCCATATTTATCTGACATTATTCACTGTCTAGTATGGGAAGTGTTTGGGTATTGGGATTTTGTGAACCCTTAAATGGTGTATTTAGCTTTTCGCGTTTGAGGTTGTTTCATTCTTTCAAATTTTAAATAGACAACAACAACATACCCTGTATAGTCCCACAAGTGGGGTCTGGGAGGGTAGAGTGTCCAGACCTTACCCCTCCTACCTTGGCAGGTACATAGGTTGTTTCCAATTGACCCCTGGCTCAAGGAATCAAATTTTAAACATAAACCAGAGAAAATCTAGAAGAAAAAAGGAGACTCACCAACCATGTAATTGTGTTTGTGGGAACTTTTCCTATCATGATCTCTGTGTCTGGTATGTTCTGCAGAGTCACAAGAAGAAGAAAACGCATGAACCAAAAGACGACCAGGAGAGATCAGATGACGAGATGTCAAAACAAACTAAAAGTGAGGAGAAAGACGGTAAATCTGAAGAAGGATCCGAGAAGGACAAGAAGAAGCATAAGCGAAGTTCAAATAAATCATCAAAGAAGGAATCTGCCGGAGAAGTTAAAACCAAGAAAACACCTTCAAATTCATCAAAAAGCTCAAAGAAAAATGATAACAATGATGCAAATCCAAAAGTGCATTCAAAGAAGAAAACTACTGAAGTAGTTAAGGGAAATTCATCTACACCAAAGAAGCCTAGTTCAAAAGACAACACTGGTGAGAATCATTGTTTACTCCCATTTGAGTGTACTCTCAAAAATTCTCGTCAAGATGATCAATGATTTGTATATGAGTATCTTCATAAATTTCTTCGTTATGTGTGTTGTGTATCCATCTGAAATTGTTTTCTTTGTTTTTGTATATTTTTTTTGCTTAAATCCTTTCTTTATTAGCTTATCTGATTGTGCAGGGAAAAAAGTTCCGAATGGAAAGGGCCATAAGAAAGCAGATAAATTGAAGCCAAGTGATGATGAACTCAGAAGTGCGATTTGTGAAGTTCTAAAAGAAGTTGACTTTAACACGGTGAGGAATGAACTTTGAGTTCTGTACTTTTATCGCGCTTCTGTTTCTCTCCTTAATAGTAGATTTCGATTGTCAAATCCCTGTTTAGATGTTCCATTTCCCATCTGCCTAAGCTTTGGTGGGTAGAGTGACTCAATATCAATGGTGAGAGGTAGTAGGTACCCAGTGGAATAGTTGAACCGCATGCAAGTTGGGCCAGGACAACCATTATCCCGTTCAAAAGAGAAAAAACAGAGGACATGTTTCTTAGACCATTTCAAGATGGTGCTCTTCGTCCTTCACATTTTGGTTATCATAGTTCCCAGAATAGGTATTGATATTCCAAAATTTATGTTCCTATGTGGCTAACATCATTTGTTTATGCTGCAGGCCACCTTTACCGACATTGTGCAAATACTTGGTAAGTGTCCTGGAAAAACGGTTTTTCTGTTCTTTGGTCATACAAAGTACGCGGTTTTGACCAAGTTAAAAGTTTAAAAACTTGATATTACATCCTCTGCGAGGCCATGGTAATACAATTCTGGAAATCCAACTGATTAGTTTGTCTTTTTTCCAGCCAAGCGGTATGATACAGATCTTACACCCAGAAAGATATCTGTGAAGAATATGATCCAGGATGAGCTCACTAGGCTAGTCGATGAGGCTGATGAAGAGGACGAGGAAGAAAATGCTGAAGATGAAAAACAGCCTTCTGTCCAAGGTGTAGAGGCTTGAAAGCATAGAACATACCAAGGAAAGGTAGCCTATATCGTCTCTCGGTTAATGTCTGAATACTGTTCCATAATGATCTCGAACGGGTGTAGTTTATTGATAGTGTTTCACCTTGTTGTTCAACTCACTGGCTAGTAAGTCATGGAACTAGAAATGTCTGGTTTTTAATGCTGGATTTCAGCTTACTGTGTAAACAGCATTTGTAGTCTTTTTTCTTCTTGGAAGCACTGATCTTTTCATGTACTATAAAGGGGTCGTTGTGCTTTCAACCTATGTATAACTAATACATGTATTATTCCTAACATCTGATAAAAAAACAAAGCCAACATAAATAATCACAACATTACTAATACACTTTATTCAATATTCTTCTTATTCTCTCTATAAAACGATCCCTAAATGCTAGTGTTGTAAGTAACACTCATTTGAGACTATCTTAGCCATTGTACAACTACTGTGCCTCAATCCGAATTAAGTTGGGGTCGGGTATATGAATCCTCTAGTGGAATTTGTAAGCCAATGAGTCATTTGATTCTATTCAATATACTAGTGATGTAGATTTACATTCCTTCATCTGCAGAAAGGAATATATGTTAACTACTCTTGTCTCTGGATTAGATTTCTGAAATTACATGTCAAGTCTTGTTCTTAAATGAAGAAGTGAGTATTAATATAGCGAATTCAATTTATCTGTTGTTATATTTGGTTGTGAGATATGATTCTTCCAATGCGAATTTAAGAAAAAATTAAGAAAAACAAAAATATTGGACGAATAATTCAGGAAATCAAATTTATTTAAAATTTGTAAGTTATTGTAAAATGGATGTCCACACAATATACTTTGTGTCCAAGTAAAATACTTTGTGGCCAAGTTTTATAACCTATATATATATATATATCCCCTCTTGTAATATGAAACAACAACAAGAAGTAAAAAAACATACAATAATAAAGGAAAATTTCTACTACTATTACTTTGTGTCTTTCTATCTCTACTCTTCTTAATTTCAATTTATTATTATTATTATTATTTTTTGGTTTCACACTCGGTGTCCGGAGCTCACATTGGAGCTCTGATTAAATTTGGATCGCGCTCTGCAGGGTCCATTCGGAGGTGACGCTCTCAACAAGATTTTTTCCATACTCAGGGCTCGAACCCGAGACCTCTGATTTTATAAGAAAAGTTAATTTATACCAAATTTGGTTAAAACTTGGGCAGCAAATCGATAAAAACCCGACCCGTCGGACTCGGCCCTATTTTAAAATACGGAAAGTGAAGTCCGTAATCATAACCCTAATTTCATCCTCTCGTTTTTACTCTCCTTTATTATCCGGTGACCGGTGATCGGAGATTTTCTTATAGTCTTTTCTATATCAAGTTGTTCAGCATGGATGATTATCAGGAGATGGAGAGGTTTGGTATGGAGAACGATTTTGAAGATGGACAGTGGATCGGTGGTGAATTCTACTATCGGAAACGTAAAGAGAAAAAGCAAGTTCAAACCAAAGATGATACGCTCTATGGTGTTTTTGCTTCTGGCGATAGTGATTCTGACTACGAAGGATCATCCTCTAAGAAGCGAAAAAAAGGTTTTTCATCGAAACCTGACCTAACCAAACCTGTTAATTTTGTATCAACTGGAATTGTTATGCCTAACAAAGAAATTGATCAGAATTCCAAAGAGGAGAATGAGGAGCAGCTAATGCCAGAAGAAGAGAATAAAGGTTTAGGATTGGGATTTGGGGCAGCATCTGTTGGCGGCCTTGGATTTGGTACTAGTAGTAGTTCGAATAATAATAATAATAATAATGCTGATGAGGTTAAAGCTGATGGGGGAAACTTTCTGCCCACTGCTTTTGGTAGGAAGATCAAAGAAGGTGCACTAAGACGTGAGAAGGAAAGGGAAAAGGAGAAATCTATGTTGGCGAAGAAATCTTCGCCGTCTGAATCAGGGAGAAGGGAACCTGGTGGTGATGTTGGTGGCTTTGAGAAGTTTACCAAAGGGATAGGGATGAAGTTGCTTGAGAAGATGGGTTATAAGGGAGGTGGATTGGGTAAAAATGAGCAAGGAATTGTGGCTCCGATTGAGGCAAAGCTGAGACCTAAGAAGATGGGAATGGGATTTAATGACTACAAGGAGACTAGTAGTGCACCAGCTCTTCAAGAATCAGATGGAAAGCAGACTGTTGCTCGTCCTGCTATACTACATGTGGAAGGTCGATCAAAAGAGAAGCTTTGGTCAAAGCAAGCTAAAAAAGTGAAGAAGGTTTATGTTACAGCTGAAGAGTTGTTGGCCAAAAAGCAGGAGCAAGGCCTGGAAACTGTTCAGAAGGTGTTTGATATGAGAGGTCCACAGGTTCGAGTCTTGACGAATCTGGAGAACTTGAACGCCGAAGAAAAAGCAAGGGAGAATGATGTTCCAATGCCCGAACTTCAGCATAATATCAGGTTGATTGTGGACTTGGCAGAACTTGACATACAAAAGATTGATAGTGATTTGAGAAATGAGATGGAGACAGTTGTTGCTTTGCAAAAGGAGAAGGAGAAGCTTCAAGCTGAGGCAGCTCGTCAAAAAAGGCAGTTTGATAATATGGAAGAGATTGTAGGTGTATTGGACCGGATAGGGGAAGAGAGCACATCTGGTACCCTGACCCTAGACTCCCTTGCAAAAGCATTTGCAGACTTACAGCAGCAGTATGTTGAGGAATACACACTCTGCAACTTGTCAAGCATAGCGTGCTCATACGCTCTGCCATTGTTCATTCGAATTTTTCAGGGATGGGATCCACTTCAAACTCCAACACATGGATTGGAGGTGGTTTCACTGTGGAAGGATCTTTTGCAAGGTAATGACATTTTTGCTATCTCTGATGCTGCATCTCCTTATACTCAACTATTTATGGAAGTTGTGTTCCCTGCTGTTAGAATATCTGGCACCAATACCTGGCAGGCTAGGGACCCTGAACCAATGCTTCGTTTTTTGGATTCTTGGGAGAAGCTATTGCCTTCTTCAGTTCTTCAGTCAATACTGGAAAACATTATTTTGCCCAAGTTATCAGCTGCTGTAAACTCCTGGGATCCACGTCGCGAAACAGTTCCAATACATTCCTGGGTTCATCCATGGTTGCCCTTATTGGGTCAAAGATTGGAAAGTTGCTACCACACTATACGTAGCAGATTGGAAAGCGTACTGCATGCTTGGCACCCAAGTGATATGTCTGCATACTACATACTGTCTCCTTGGAAGACTGTTTTTGATGCAATTAACTGGGAAAAACTAATGGTCCGATTTATTGTTCCAAAGTTGTTAGCAGTGATGCATGAATTCCAAATAAATCCAGCAAATCAGAACCTTGATCAGTTCTATTGGGTCCGTACTTGGGCTACTGCTATTCCCATCCATCACATGCTTCCAATACTGGATATATTCTTCAACAAGTGGCAAGAAGTTTTGTACCACTGGTTATGCTCAAACCCGAACTTTGAAGAAGTCACGAAATGGTATTTGGGTTGGAAGGAACTTATTCCACCAGAGCTTCAGGCAAATGAACACATTCGCTATCGACTAAATCTTGCTCTAGACATGATGAACCAGGCTGTTGAAGGCTTGGAGGTCGTTCAGCCTGGTTTGAGGGAGAACATAAGTTATCTTAGGGTTCTTGAACAAAGGCAATTTGAGACTCAGAAAAAAGCAGCAGTACAAGCTCAATCCCGTCCTTCTGTGGGCTCGAACAGTGGTATCCAAATGGATGGTGGGGTTGACATGAGCATGAAAGAAGTTATTGAAGTTCATGCTCAAGAGAATGGTTTGCTGTTCAAGCCTAAGCCTGGCAGGATGCAAGATGGTCATCAGATATATGGTTTTGGTAACATCAGTATTATTATAGATTCTCTCAATCAGAAGGTATTTGCGCAAGTTGAGGACAGGTGGTCTTTTGTGTCACTTGAGCAGCTGTTGGACCTGCATAATCGATCTGGGTCAAAGCGTCGATAGATGTCTTAAGTTCTTAAATGTTGTGTATGGAAGCAACTCCGGCCTCTGATAGATGTCTTCATGGATTTTTCTGCAGCGTATCTCTTTGTATGCCATAGTAAGTCATGAGAAGATTAAACACGTTTTTTCACTAGTGGCATTTTATCTGCTCTTTAATGACCTTATTAAACTTGTAAGTTCTCATCATCCTACTTCGGCATCCAGGCAAAATCACTAGAAATGAGTGAGATGTGAGTGCCAATCTTTCTAGCTCAGATAGCAGTCCTTCAATAGTTTTGGGTAGATGTTATATTGTAATTGTTTGTGATTTTCTTTATAAGAAGTATTAAATGTTCCATAAACTTTGTAACTGTTTCATAGATTTGTTATGATTGACCTTCTAGATTAGGACTCTAATCTGTTATATTTTGTGGATGAATGCAAAGGAATTGCCTTGTTCTCAGAACTCCAAATTACTTGGTCTCCTAAGAAAGTAGACTATAGACAATAATATGCAATATATGATCATATAAAAGACATGTGTAAGTTCTACAAGTATTGTTTTATGCTTTAACTCTTTACTGGTAACCGGTATAAATGGACATAAAGCTTGGAAGAAGATGGCATCTACTGTAGCAGTAGAGACACCGAAAACTATTCAGAAAAGACAACAAGATGGTAATGGTTCTAAGACAGGATTGATAGAACCTATTCTACCAAAAGCATTAATGAAGAGTGAAATCATGAACTTTTACATCATATTAGTGATTAGTGGAAATGCTCCTTTCAAAGGGAACACTGAAAGAAAAACAGCAATTACGCGAGAAAATATTCAATGGACATGGCAATTCCTCAGTTGATATATCTTTCCTAGTCTATGTAATTCTATACTATCCAAGAATGTATGTAATAGGTCAGCAGATCAATCTGTAGTCAGATCATGGGGGCCTTCCCCTTTGATTTTGACTGTGATTTGGTCTGTGTACTTGATGATCTTCCTCTGTCCTGTTCATCATCATGTTCTTTCTCTCGTCCCTGTGCCTATGACGATCAGCATTATCATCCCTATGATGACCACGCTTGTGTTCCCTATCTTGATGCCTCGCAGGGTCATGGTCACGACCTCTAGAGCTTTCAACATCTCTATCATCTTGGCGTCTCCTTTCTTGCCAATCATGATCACGCCCTGAAGGTTCTCTGTCGTCTATATATCTTCTGTCTGAAGAATCAGGCCTATCATTTTCTCTGTTACTAGGCCAAGTGCCCCTATCACGGCTTTCTTCTCCATACTGATAATCAGATTCTGCCACATTACTTGACTCTCCTGCCCTGTAGCCATGCTCATCTCCAGTCCATCTGCCCATATTAGGTCCCTCCATACCAGCACGAGGCATCATTCCTATACTATTCATGGGCATTCCTCTCCTAAAATGTGCAGGTGGAAATGGAGTCAACCTACCTGAAAAAGGTAGAGTTAGACCACCAGAGAATCCTCCATAACCACCCATTCTCCCCATAGGCCCTCTGAAAGCAGAATAAAGGCCTTGACCCATCATTGTTTGAGGATGAATCAATGAAGATGCAGCACCTATACCTTGTCTGAGTCCACCTCCAGCATTCCCCATAGGCCCTCCAAAACCAGGATGAAATCCTTGGCCCATCATTGTTTGACGATGATTCGATGAAGATGCAGCACCTATACCTTGTTCGAGTCCACCTCCAGCATTCCCCATAAGCTCTCTTCCTACAACGCCATCAACCCTATTTCTCTTAGGACCAAGTGGACCCCTAACCCCCATCATCTGAGGACCTGCTCTGCCCAAATTCCCACCATCTTGAAAATTACCAACAGTAGCATTGTACCGATTAATTCGATTCACTGAAGCGGTCTGACTTAGACTATAATACAGATTAATTCGATTCATCCGTCCCTCTTCCAAGCTCTTTAGCGAAGATGGTGAAGCAAATCTGACCACACAGGCCCGCCCATTGAAATAATGTCCATCCATCCCTTCCCTACATGCCATGGCAGCTGCAGGTTCAGAAAACTCAGCCCGACAATATCCATTCGACTTCCCAGAAGCTATTTCATCAAAAAACTTAACATCCTCCACAGCTCCATATCTGCTTAACTCTAACTCCACTTGAGCATCTGTTGTCCACCAATGCAGATTACCAACAAATAAAATCGTCCCTCCACTACCGTCTCCTCCACCTAAGGCCCTGGAACTGCCCATACTACCCATTGCATTCCCACTAACCATTCCTCGTCTAACCATATTACCGTTCCCTGAATTCCCAACATTCCTAGCATTTCCTAAAACATTAGCACTAGCAGCAGTAGGCCTTTGAATTATCTCTCGATTCACAATATTACTGCTAGCATTCTTCGCTAAATCAGCCATCTTACCCGACGGATTACTACACTCAATCTTTATCCCACCAGCAACAGAAGACTCTAATCTTGCTGCCGGTGTCAAATCTCTATCTCTCATTTCATTCCCCCTAACTGCCATATCCCTAGACCCATCATCTCCACTCGAAATCCTAGACGCTACAATTGCAGCCGTCACAGCAGCATTGCCAGTCTCCTGACGCAGCTCAACCGCCTTCTCTTCCTCCTCATTCTTCCGAACTGACTGAAGAAAATTCTCTCCAACATTGATATTGTTATAAAGATCCCCACAATCATCATCATCTTCTTCTTCTTCTATTTTAACTAGAAACCCATCATCCGCAACAGCTGGAATAGCTTCATTCCTATGGCCATCCCCCAACCCCCCACCTTCATTTTCTTCCATGGCTTCTTCAAGAAAGAAGTTGGGGTTAAGTTCTTGACTACTTGTTACAACCCCAGAAACTTGATCTTGACGATAACAATATGAAATGCTTCAAAAAAAGAACACCAAAACACACCCTAATCAAAAGAAAACTTCAGAAATTGAGAGAACTAATTGATCTTCCATTGATGAACATTAACAGTACACACAGACAAACTGTGAAAACCAATTTCGGTTCCAACTGTATGTATTACTCTTCAAGATTCTGCATATTCTGTTATACTTCTGGTTTAGGAATGGTTTATGGTAGAGATAGAGAGGTTACATTTATTGGCGTAGTAATTGAACATGGTGGGTATATATATAGAGAGATATTTTGCGAAGAAAAGACTAGACGTGAAAAAATTATGTGTACCAGGTTAAAAAGTTATATATTAAAGAATAAGAAAAATTGGACTAATACACATGAAAATTCATGTACAATACACTCCCAAAACGTAGATAATCATGAATTACAATTTTGTGACCTTAAAACTCTAAAGAAAAGTTGACGTCAATTCTACAGAGGCAATGAATAGCGCTCTCTAGATCATGTCTAATGGATCCATAGAATTTAGGGTCAAACTGAGTCGATTTGATATATTCTGAAAATTTTATGAAATAATACACGTGAAAACTTAGATAATCGGAGATTCATGTTTCATGATCCCTTAACTCCTAAACAAGTGACTCGATCCTATAGAGAATTAGAGTATCATAGTCATATTTCAAAAAAAATTCATGAATTAATACATACGAAAAGGTGAAATAATTCTAACTTTATGTTTCGTGACCTGAAATTGCCAAAAAAAATGATATGGTCCTTGAGAACAATGAGTATTGTTCATTGTATCGTTTCGAATAGACTAAAAAAAAATTGAGATCAAACGAAGTCTATCTATCATATTTCAGAAAAATCATGAAGTAATACACACAAAAATTTGAGATAGTTGTAAATTATATTTCGCGAGTTAAAAATTATCAATCCTATAAAGAAAATGAATATCATTCACTAAGTTATATTTTGAATGAACCCACATAATCGATCAGACTAATAAACATGAAGAAAACTCTTCTTTGCCGTGGAAAAATACATTTCAAATTGCACATCTACTTTTCTCTTGCAAATACTAGATAAAATATCTACCTTAAATTATAAACTCAATTCATATCGAAAAAGTTAAATCATTATATAAGTTAAATATTTTATAGCAAAACATTCTTTATTTTAAAGTTAAAAATCTACTAACAATAGGTGTAGAGAAAACAAAATACAAATGGAGAAATCAAATTCAATCTTCATCAATAAATTGAAAAATTCAACAAGTAAATTTTTGCATTTGGAGTTTTTTTTTTTTTAATCCCAAATGCAGCTCTAAAACCGTTTTTTTTTTGGGGTTCAAATATATAATTTTATTTTATTTAAATGTTTTTCTAAAACTAAACGTTGCAACGTTTAGTATTTGATTTTTTTTCCCCCACAAAATTGCAACGTTAAATTTTCACATTACTATATTAATTATCAGAAATTAAATTTTAATTAACATCAGCGATTATCCATTCTGTTTAATTTCAAGGTGACCGGAATATTCCCTGTGATAACAATTATCCCTTCTGTTTATTTTTCTGGCCACCGGGATATTCTCCGTGATATCGCTTTGTTAAACTACAAAAATGTACAGAGTATTTACCATTGTTTTATTGTTGCTTCATGTGATAAACTCCGATGGAGCAGCACCGCCGGCGAAATTGGATCCCCCTGTTTTTTCTCCGGTCTTTGCTCCGGCGAGTCCTTATACATCGCCTGACAAGTCTCCGGCCACTCCGGAAACTTCTCCGGCAATTGCAATGTCTCCTGAAAGTAGTCCATTTGCTTCGCCGGTTCAATCTCCGTCGAGAACTCCGCCGACGACTTCAATTTCGCCGGTTAGGACTCCATCGTCCAATGACAGTGCTCCGGTACCATCTAAGGCTACTCCTGAGACGCCGGCGAACACTCCTACAATATCCCCTAAAGCATCATCAAAGTTGCCGGCGTCTACCCCGTCTATCTCGCCGATAAATTCTCCTGCGCCAATGCCGTCATCCAATGTGGCTGCTCCGGTACCATCGGCAATGACTCCTCGGCCGGGATTTAAAACTCCGGTGATCACTCCTGCAATATCTCCTAAAGCATCGTCAATCTTACCGGCGTTTACGCCGATAAATTCTCCTGCGAAAACGCCGTCATCCACTGTGGCTGCTCCGGTTCCATCTGCAATTACTCCTCGTCCAAAATTTAAAACTCCGGTGATCACTCCTTCATCATCACCAGTGCCGAAGTCTCCTAAAACGAGACCGTCCGTTTCACCGGCGTACTCTCCGGCGAAAACCTCTTCACCGGAACTCTCTCCATCGTCCACTGTGGTTGAAAATCCAGTAGGTGCGCCTGTATTCTCCCCTCCGGTAGCTTCACCAACAGATATTCCGACAAGCGCTGTGACTCCATCAATATCCTCAAGCATTCCTTCAACTTCAATAACTCCGTCAGAGGCACCGGAGATGTTGCCTACAAGCAGTAGCTCTCCGATTCCGGCACCGGTCAATTTTTCGCCGGAGAGTTCACGAAGCGTTGTGACTGATACTTTCGCGGGAACTTCAAAATTTGAGGTGCCAATTTTTCTAAGTGGGCTTTCTATTTGGGCTGTTTTGTTAATTTGAAATTCAGTAAAGGCCCAATTTTTATGTATATGTAGAATTTTTCCCCCTTTGTAATATTCTTCTTTATAATATATTTTTATTTTTGGTATATAAGTGAAAAATGTACAAATCTCCCTTTAATGCGTGTGTAGCGGAGATAGAAATTTCACGTAAGAAGATTCAAATAATATTATTACGTTACTATATTGAACATGTCTTGATACTTACCGTTCAATAGATGAGATATGAGACTCGACCTAACTAGCACGTTCTTTACCTTAATGTACACAGAAGCTAGAACTAAGATGTCTCAAAGGTGGAATTCATTCTGACAAGCTAACACAAACTTTAGTACCTTGGATTTGAATTTGTGATCTAAAATATTTTTTTAATTTCTTTAGTTAGTACACAAATATGTAATACCATTGGCTGGTGCATTGATGCTAAAAATCAAATAATATTATAACGATAACTGTATTTTAAACATGTCTTGATATTTACCGTTCAATGGATAAGATAGGAGATACTCCCTCCGTTTCACAAAGAATGACCTCCTTTCCTTTTTAGTCAGTTTCAAAAAGAATGACCTCTTTCCTTTTTTAGTAACATTTTACTTTTTGCTTTCCACGTAATATGTTTAAGACCACAAGATTAAGGGCAATTTTATACATTTGACATAACTTTAATTTAGGACCACAAGATTCAAAAGTCTTCTTTATTTACTTAAACTTTGTGCCAAGTCAAACCAGGTCATTCTTTGTGAAACATAGGGAGTATGAGAAAGAAAGAAATAGTAGTAGTTTAAAAGTATAAAAAACTATTTATGATAAGACTGAATTTGGGCCTCAAAAACTCTTTTACATCGTAATGATCAAAGTCTATAAAACTTGCTTTTTAAATTTCTTACTAATTGAAGTTGACCAAGTTTTAAAAACAAATTTGTAATCAAAGTAAAAAAAAATGTATTTGAAAGTTAAAAGATAAAATTGATAATCTAAAATTTATTTAGACCATGGTGTATTTATAGATTGAACACGCTGGTTAAAATCATTAAGAATTGTGGTGAGATGAATAGAATTTCTCCATCCTTAATCACACGTTTAGACTCTTGAGTATGCAGAAATCCTAGCTAAAAGTGTTTTACCCTTAAATTAACCTTATACGATATAAATCTGAGTTAATTAAAATAACAAGATGAATATCCACTACTGAATTTGTATAAAACAAAAGAAATGATGCATGCATGAAACTTCCTTGTTCGACTCATAGTAATGAGCTAAATCAATAATGTATCATACGTATATGTGTTTGAATTAGCTCATTACTATATGAGTCGTACAAGGAATTTTCATATTATGACACACTTGGTTTGGGAAGTATTAAAAACAAAATTGTAATTGAAGTCTAAAAAAGAGCATTTTAAAGTTAAAAGAATAAAAATGATAATCCTTATTTAGACGATTTTGTAAATATAAGTTTAACTCTCTCATCAGAAAATGTGGTTAGATGGATATAATTTCTTCATTCTTAAGTTAATGGTTCGGATTCAAATCTTGGATATAAAAAAATGCTCCCCGAAAGCATTTCACCTTTAAATTTATATCTTACATAACTCAAATCTAAATCAGTCGGAACCTCAAATAACAACAACAGCAACAACAACAAATACCCAATAATTACGTAAGTGAGATCGGAGATGATAGAATATATGCAATCTCTAGCTCTACTTCGTGAGGATAGAGAAGTTATACATGTTTGTATTAGCTCATTAATATGAATCGTACAAGGAATTCATTATGACACATATTTCATAGGTATTTCATAGTGTGACATTAAGCACACAACTAATTATGAGTTGTTCAATGGCAAATATATACCAAAAAGTCTTCAATCATAGTCGATTATTCTTTTAAATTAGGTAGTCATTTTATGTCATGACATAGCACAAACAATTTCCAATTTGAAAACTTCACATATTATTTTTCTTTCTACATAATAATATTTTGATTTTCATCAGAGAATCGAAAAAAAAAGAATGATAAGAAAAATAAAGTTACACCCATAATGGAAGAGATTTTTGTGAATAGAAAGCGAGAAATAATGAATGTATTTATCGTTAGCTATTGTTTAATATTAGAGATATGTTAGATTGAAGTAATTAAATTTAAATTTGTATTGAATAATTTTATTAAAAAGTAAAAAAATAAATAAAAAAATTGTAGAAGCTTATGGAGTCTGTCGGTGGACACGTCAGTGGTTGTGCTGTCATGTACACGTGGATTTTATATTGCCACCACATGTCA